GAGACAGTAATTTCAAAATCAGTAAGTGGCCTAGAGATTACAGACAAGCCACCCAGAGCTGGAATGAGGCTGTTCTCAAGTTCATCCACCTCTGCGGATTCTCATCAGCTTCCTCCCCACCAGGACCTGCGGGACTCTCTGGCACCCTCCCAACAAGGGGCAGGGGTCAGTGTTTAAAAACAAAAGTTGCATTTGCTTCGTATATGCATCTCTACTGCTGATGGGAGGGGAGTGGAGAAGGAGGAGAGCCCAGCACCTGCCCTATCTGAGCAGCGCCAGGCCTCAGGTCGGCTCACAGGATGAAGGCAGCATCAGAGACGCGTCCCACCAGCCCCGCCCTTCGGTAGACAACTGATTTCAGTCCCAAGTTTCTCAGCAGTAGTTGTGAGGCGTCCTCCCCTCCCTGGCATGAGTTACTATTAATGGTTTAAGTACCAAAATCTGCAGAAGATTGACTTTTTTTTTCTTTTTTTTCAGTTTACTTATTTTTGCAGAGAGACGCTTCATTCTGAAGGATGACATTCGCATTAAAGATTTTATTTTTAAGTAATTTCTACACCCGACGTGGGGCTCGAACTTACAACCCTAAGAGCAAGAGTCACATGCTCTACTAACTAAGCCAGCCAAGCGCCCCAAACTTGATTTTAATATTGTGTTCATGAAGGTGTTTCACAAGCACATGGGTAATAAAACTAGCCCATTAAGAGATTTCAGGAAATTGTCTTTTTTTTTTTCAGGAAAAATAAATAAATATGGCAGATCTAAAGTATTAAGCATTATTATTTTAAGAATCTCTAGTGGTTGATTTCTATGCTGAGCTAGGTTTACTCAAGTGAGCTGTGATTTCCATTCAGGGACATCTGTCTGGATACAGGTGAGTGCGGTGACATTATAGGGACGATCTGAAATCTGCTCTACTTACTTAGCTTTAAAAGTGAATCCTGGGGCGCCTGGGTGGCTCAGTCGGTTGAGCATCTGACTACGGCTCAGGTCACGATCTCGCAGGTCAGTTCGAGCCCCGCGTCAGGCTCTGTGCTGACAGCTCAGGGCCTGGAGCCTGCTTCGGATTCTGTGTCTCCCTCTCTCTCTGCTCCTTCCCCCACTCACGCTCTGTCTCTCTCTCTCTCTCTCTCAAAATAAATACATAAACATTAAAAATAATAATGTTAAATAATAATAATAAATAATAATAAAAATGGGGGTGGAGGGATGCGGGGAAAGGATATAAACCAAAAAAACAAATCAGAACAAAAAAACTATACCTACAAGTCAGAGGAAGAAAGGAGGGCAGGAGACTCATCCATTAGGAAGAACGCAGTGTCAAAGAACAAAGAGCCAAAATGCTAGCTCAACCCAAATGCGTAAGCATTGCATAAAGCAGGTGAGCTGTAGGGTTGCTAGATATTGAAGACATGGTGTTGAAACCAGCGAGCAACAGGCAAACAAAACCTCATTTATTGCTCACTTGAAACAACCACAGCTCATATGACTAAAAAGGCTCTCAGACGATTACTTAACCCTAGTTTCTGTACCCCGGCAAGGCAGGAACCAAGTTAGTCCATGCAAACAAACGTCCACCCATTTAGAGACCCATCAGCCAGGTGGGGCTTGATCCTGCGAGAGCGGTACAGGGACCTGATTCTGGGCCCGAGCACATGCCCACACAGGTGTTGAGAAAATTCAGGCCTTAACAGAAGGTTTTCAACAGGTCGGGGGCAGGGGCTGGGGAGCTGGAGGTCAATATTCTGGAGGACTGTCAAAACTCCTTGCCCTAGGAGGCAAAGCTCAGGGAAGAAAGTGTAAAGAAGAAAAAGCCATCAGCCATTTTAACTTTGGCATAGTTTTATCATCAATAATACGGACATTTCAAGCGGGAGTTTACAAAATTTATCAAGACCGGTCTGTTCACCAATCTCCAGCCCTGAAAACATTACGACATCATAGAGCAACTCTCTTGCTAATACGGCCGGGATTGGCGGGATGAGTTCTTTAATGGGGGACGAGGAGTACCGAGGAGCAAGAGAAGGTAACACAGTCACTACCTGGGTGGAATCCAGACAAGGGGATGGCTAAAAACACAAATGTGTCATTTAAGAGATGACAAGACAATATTCCTCACCACCAAAATCACAAGACAGTTTTTATGGTCCAGAGAGGGCAAACCTGAAGATCGGGTCCTCCTTCTCTAGCAGATAAAAGCAAAATAATGATGCAGACACCCGAATGTCACCTGTCAATGTCATTTGCGCTGTACTGATCACTCCACGGAGCCTCGTGTGTCATTAACTCACTTTTCTAATAAAGGGAAAAATTATTCCAAAGTGATCATCTACTTCTGAAGACAAAGAATAAGATTATATGCCTTCAGCATCCCATGCTTAGTTAGCCCTTTTAGTGTAGAGAAGAACCGGCAGCTTCCACGAAAGAATTTCGTGGAAAACGTGCTCTCAGTTAAAAACAAAAACAAGGGGCGCCTGGGTGGCGCAGTCGGTTAAGCGTCCGACTTCAGCCAGGTCACGATCTCGCGGTCCGTGAGTTCGAGCCCCGCGTCGGGCTCTGGGCTGATGGCTCAGAGCCTGGAGCCTGTTTCCGATTCTGTGTCTCCCTCTCTCTCTGCCCCTCCCCCGTTCATGCTCTGTCTCTCTCTGTCCCCAAAATAAATAAACGTTGAAAAAAAAAAAATTAAAAAAAAAAAAAAAAAAAAAAAAAAAAAAAAAACCACTTAGCAGGGTGTTCCCCCAACACTGGAAAATCCTATTCCTCAAGACCTGGCTTCAAGTTTCACAGAAACCATCCCTAAGTATACCCCAGACAGAACTCTTCCTTCTCTGAATAATGAGGGCTCTTAGACTCCCAGCCAGGCAATTCTACACCAAATTACATGCGATTTTGTACTGTTTGCTAAAATTATATATGGTCTTGTACTGTCTGCTAATTGTTTCATGTGTACAAATGCCTTTTCTTCCCCAATAAAATGCATAAATTACGGAAGAAGGCTCAGTTTTTTCCTTCAGCTGTCTGTTCCTCCTGAGCATCCGAGAGACGACGGCTAATGCACACACCTGAGAAGCCTGCCCTGTGGAAGCGGGGCTCGGGCAGTGCTGGGAGTCTTCTGTGGGTGGGGGAGACCACCTCATCCCTTCGCCAGTGCCCTGTGACCCTCACCCAGCCTGCTGCCAGTTCAAAGTCCTGTACCCCGACCCGCCACATGAGTCCTTGCTGGCCCTTGGCGGGCCCCTCTGCCTGGCACCCTCCCACCTCCACTCTCAAGAGGCAGAAGCAGCTCACACAAGACCATACAACTCGGCTGGTGCCCTCATTTAATCAGGCTGCTGCAAATGGTTGGCCAAAAGCAATAAGGGCATGACTGAGAGACTGTGGGAGTTTAATATAAAAAAATTAATAAAAAAAAAAAAAAAGAAGGGAAGCAGAAAGGGTCTACCTTTTAATAGGGCCCTAATTACCCAACTCATAGGATCAGCCCAAATGAGATGGGAGTTTATTTCGGGGTGTTTTTTTTAATTATTGTTTTTTTTTATATATATATAAATTGCTGCTATGTGTTTTCTTTCCTCTGAGCAATTATGCAGCAAGTACGTAAAGAAGGGAAAAAAATATTAATTAAATATAAGGTAATTGTAGAGTTGGCCTGGAGAGAATGAGTCTGAACTCTGGACGATCACAGGCTACTAGGGTTTGAAGACTGCTCAGGGCCTCCCCGAAAAGAAAGAAATAAAAATACAACCAACCACCAAGCAGATGCAGCAGACAGCAGGAAAACAGCAGTGCACAGAAACGTCAGTGGGGCCAGGGGGCTGCAGGGCTCCAAATACCCAGAAATTAGCGAGGCTGCCCGCGGCTTAGGGCTCACTGCTAGAAAGAACCCCCGAGGGTTTACCCCATTGCGCTTCAAGAGAAGGACCGGTCCCTCCACCGGTGATCGCCAGTTAAGTCAGTAGAGAAAATGTAAAAGGAGCCTGAGAAGTAAAGGACTGTCGAGGACAAGCGTTCAGTTTGGACATGAGTCCAAAACCAGCCACAACTCTAGCCTGCGGGGCACTGACAGGCTCCGGGGGACACTCAAGCTCCTGATCTATGGGCCTGGCAAGGAGAAGCCTGAAGCCTCTGGCCTTCATACCACCCTGACTGTCAAACCCAGGCAAGACCAGAAGAGTGAAGGGAAGCCATCGCGGGGTGCAGTGGGAAGGGAGCTGACGCGATAAGAGTAGGTAACAGGACGGTGGCAGTGCTTCCCTGAATCAGCCCCAGCAGGGCTTGCGTCACCCTGGTCTTTCTACAGCTCAGCCAAATCCAACTCCCCTTCTGCCTCGGGAACCTAGGAACGGGCTACAATTCAGGCCTGTTCACGCCAGCTAAGACCTCACATCACTTCCTCCCACTACTGCTGGAGGAGAGGGAAGAAAAGCAGGCCTGTGACACGAAGGCTGGGTGTACATCCTGCAGCTTGCTATCACCAAACAAAGGCAAAGCTCTCAAAGCCGGCCCTCCATGAAACTTATCAGGCTGCTACAGAACAGGTCTTACGACCCAACGACCCAACAAACAGGATTTGCGGCAGGCCCTGCAATGCAAACTATAGAATGAAAATGGGGTGTGCTGGCAGGGACTGGGGCTCAGACAACCAGAGCAAAAGCACTTTGTGAAGAAAGCTACCTTCCGAACCTAGTCCCAACTCCGCCTCCAAAGGTTTCAGGCATCCCACTAGTTACTACTGGTCAGCAACAAACAAAGTGGTGCACCACCCCATGGGGTGGATGCTTTCCCTTCCAGAAAAGACCAGGTTTTAGTAAGGAGACAGCTCACTAAATCCTGCAAGCCAGAGAAGAAGTCAGAAGTCAAAGGCCATTAAGTTAGTCTCCATATAATACCTACTTTTGAAGGGACACTGAAGGATGCAAAACTCCAGGATCATAGGTTTCTCCATACTCACACAGCATTTTAATTATTAGGAAATGATACTGTATATCTTGGGTACTTACCAGAGGCTCTCGAGGCACCACATTTTCACCTCCTGGAGTAGAGCTTGGCTGCAAAGAAAAATAGAAACAAAAATAAGATCACAGTGCCACCCAATGGACATCAAAAAGCCACAGATGCTTCATTCTCCAGCAACACACACCAACACCTGTTCCTCCTATTTCCCACCAGCTTCTCAGACTGTACAGTGTTCTGCAGTGCCCTACCTGGAAAGAAGTAGCCCATGGAGTCTGAGTTAGCCAGTAAACGAGAACAGACTGCTTCTGGGTTCACTGCCACAGCATCTCAAGAAGAAGGCTAGGTCTGGCTTAAGAGGGCCCAAGATCAACAGCTGAGCAGCAAGGGCCAGGGACTATCACGAGATCCACAGAAATAGCAAATCCAGAGGAAAGGCTTTACGAGAGAGCAAAACTTCCCTTTTGCCATCTTCCCGCCTTACGGGGAAAGAGCAGAGCGAAAGTGGAGAACCAGATCCAGCCACAAGGGGGCCCCAGAGGCCCACACTCAGGATTTTCTCCCAGCATCTACTTGGAACCAGGAAGCGAAGAAACTCTGGACACGGTTCTTATTTATCACCTGTCACTGAGGACACCAATCCACAGGAGTAAAGAAAGCCAAGCTTGAATCAGTTTTGTAACGAAGCCAGTGCCAGGCAGTGCAGGCTGACAGACCAAGCGGCAGGCAGGCAGCATGGGGTCTCAGCCTGGCTCTAGTCTGGGACCCTCTCCCCTCTCTGGATCTCACATTTGCCTCATGCTCACATTTACCTTCAACGCAGGGCCGATGGTCTAGCCAAATTTACAGAAAGGGAGAGACAGAGACAGACGCAGAGGAAACTCACAAATCTCCCAAAGAATAAAACAAGCAGTTTGGGAGTTATGATTAGTTTACTGTTACTGATGTTCAAGCCAATTTCCAATTGTCTACAGATACTATCCAGACAAGTGCAGCGAATCGGTGGGTCTCGGGAGCCAGCCGCCAGCCTCTATACTTCTCCCAGCTCATTCAGATGGCAAGTGCCAGGCCTCCTCGGGGGGAAAAAAAACCACAGAAGGTGGGAGAGGAGAGAGTCCAGTCCACAGAGGGTCTCCAAAGATTTCCTCACAACCAGCTGCCACTGTGCAGCTGACACACAGCACAGTGGCAAGGGCTCTGGCTGGGAGAAGGACTCTAGCTCCTCATCCAAAGTCCCAGGGCAAGGTCAGCCTGCATGAAACCAAGTAGAAAGTCTCCGGGAACCTGAGCACGCTTTCCCTTCCTCCTTCCCCCCTCCCTGCTCGCAGCAGCGATAACCTGCATTTAGATCTACGTCCACCTGCCTCCCAGCCTCCTCTGGACTCAACAAGTCCCTTAACAGGATTCATAATCCTCTCCCTCTGCCACACGTGTCCTCTTCCAGTATTCCCTGCCTGAGCCAAGGGCACAACCTTCCACCAAAATATACAAACTGGAGTCCAAAAGGCCATTCTTGATAGCTTTCTCCACCACTCACCAGAGCTAACGCATTATCAAGTCCTGCCCATATTCCTTCCTAAATATCCATGCAATCAGTCCATCCGCTTCTCTCTACTTCTACTGTCATCACTTGGGCCAAAGCTTCCAAAATCCCCTGCCTGGACCACTCCAGTACCCTTCGCATCAGTGCACCCTCATCCATGCTGGCTCTCTTCTAATTCATTTCCCACGCTGCAGACGGACTATCGTTTCAAAACGGTAAGAATCAGATCTCACCGCCCCCTCCCCAACCACCCCAGGAAACAGCTACCAACAGCAGCCCTAATACAGAAAACCTTCTCTGTGTGACTGCCAAGGCCTCACATCCACTGACTGCAACTCAGGTCTGTGTGACACACACTGCCCAGCTCTGCCCAACAGACACACGGGCCTTTGCACATGCTATCCCTGCCCGAGCCTCTGACAGTTCCACTTGGCTAAGTCACTTCCTTGGGGAAGCATTCTCTGACATCCACGACAGGGTCAAATCTCCCTATTCTATCCTAACACCATCCACCTCTCTTTCAAGGACTGAGAAGAAGTGCAATTTTACTTGTGTGATTATCTGACTGATGTCTGTGTCCCACACTAGATTATGAACTCCACAGGGGCAAAAACTGTCTGTGTGTGTTGCTCACTGTATCCCCGGGGCCCAGGGCAGTATGAGGCACAGATTAGGCCTTCCACAGATATTTGCTGAATGAACGAAAGGCAACAAAGAGTAGAATGGTTCTCACTCAACCGAATGGATTACAGAGTAAAGTTCATTATCTTCCTGAGGGCTTTCCTTCACTCCATTTGGCAAATATTAAGTGCTAACATTTATTTACCTCTTTCTTCATGTAATTCTACAATAAATGTATGAAATTATTGCTGATGAGGAAACAGAGGCAAAGGAGATAAATAAATAGCATGCCTGCGATGACCCAGCTAGCAACTGGTACTAAAGGGATTTGAACCATTCTACTTAAAATAATTGAGTTTTGGGGCAGCTGGGGGGCTCAGTCGGTTGAGCGTGCGACTTCAGCTCAGGACATGATCTCGCAGTTCGTGAGTTCGACCCCCATGTCGGGCTCTGTGCAGACAGCTCAGAGCCGGGAGCCTGCTTCAGATTCTCTCTTTCTCTCTCTCTCTCTCTCTCTCTCTGCTCCTCCCCTGATTACACCCTCTCTCTCTCTCTCAAGAATAAATAAAGAAAAAAAATATTTTTTAAATAATAATTGAGTTTTGGGGGCACCTGGGTGGCTCAGTTAAGTGTCTGGCTCTTTCTTGATTTCTATGCAGGCCACGATCTCATGATTTTGTGAGTTCGAGCCCCGCACACCCTCCACTGACATGGGGCCCACTTTAAAAAAAAAAACAAGGTGGCACGCCTCCCAGACTCAGTGCTTGTTCAGTGTCCTGACTCAATTTTGACTTTGGCTCAGGTCGTAATTTCACAGTTAGCAGTTTTGAGCCCCACATGGTCTCAGACCGAGGCAGAGAGAACCTGCTTGGGATTCTCTCTCTCTCTCTGCCCCTCCCTAGCATGCTAGCATGCACACACACTCTCTCAAAATAAATAAACTTAGAAATTTTTTTAATTTAAATTAAAGAAAATGATCGAGTTTTGTCTGGATCACATTTCGTTAAGCAACACTCTTTTTTTTTTTTTTTTTTTGCATTTTTTTTCTTATTTATTTTGGACAGAGAGAGACAGAGCAGAACGGGGCAGAGAGAGAGGGAGACACACACCTGAAATAGGCTCCAGGCCCGAGCTATCAGCCCAGAGCCCGACGCTGGGCTCAACTCGGACCATGCAGAGATCGCGGGACCTGGCTGAAGTCGGACCTTAACCGACTGCGCCACCCAGGCGCCCCAGTCGTTAAGCAACACTCTTAATGCTACCCCCACAAATAATAATGTGGGTTATTTGACTCGACAAAACTAACTCAAACAGCTTTGATATTTAGGAAGCCTCATTCTGACTTAATCCACAGCTTTCTTCCTCCTAAAATACAAGGAATCACTATGAATCATGATCACTACGGAACTTCCCTTAAAATGAGTTCACCTCTTGACTAGCTAGCATTTGCCAGAGGGAAAACGGTATACGGTGCTAAGTCTCTTTCATCATACACCCTTTTGTATGTTTTTACACTGTGAGCCAAGGAAGCGTATTCCACTTAAAAAATACATGAATGTTAAAATTTTTAAAAAGAAAGCTTCTCTCTCATTCTAACTCTCCAACATTCCCCTCTTCCTTGGGGGAACCACCACTGACGCTGGTTCCTTATAGATTCTTCCAGGCATTCAAAGCATTTAAGAACCCGTGTGCGTGTGTGCGTACCCCTATCAAGGAGGCTGAATAGCAGCACTCTCCAAATTCCTCAAGTCTTGACTTCCAGAGCCTTCTGGGGTCTCAGCACACCAAAGCCAGGGCTCCAGGCTTAGTCTCAGAGCTGCAAGGAGGAGCAAGATTTCCCCACACCCTATTCCAACTCACAGTGGTAGAGGTCTGTCAGACCTTATCAGTGAACTCACAGGGGGCTCCTCACCCGTCTAGGAATGGCCCAATACTGATTATATTCGAGATGACACTCCAGTTTGTGTTGAAATATCTGCAGTCTACAACGGATCACCCCCCATTGCTCATTCTCAACAGGTTCCTAAAGAACACTGTTTCTTGATGACCAAAACAGCCTTCATCCTTACCACTCTCCGTATGATTTCCTTGATAATACCACCTGAAATCCTTCACTGGGTTACTAGTTTACTATCTATCTATTCCCACTAGATTTTTAACTCCTTAAAGGCAGGCACTTTACCATCTTACGGAAGGCTGATCTTCAGCACTTAAAATATCACCTGCACCCAATAAATACCTCAGGTTTTTTTCTTTTAACTTAAGACATGAAAACAAAGGAACCACTTCATATACATGCGCACAGAAGAAGCAAGCAGAGGACCACAGCAGGACACGTGGCCACTCCTGAAACATTTCACCTGCAACTTAACACAAACCTGGCCTCCTCCCAGGGTGCAATGCTGTGGTCCAGGGATTCTCAACCCCAGGGCAGAAACACCCCCCACACACCCCAGAGAGGAATTTGAAAATGTGTGGAGGTGGGGCACCTGGGTGGCTCGGTCGGTTGAGTGTCCAACTCTTGGTTTCGGGTCAGGTCATGATCCCAGCGTCATGGGGTCGAACCCCATGCCGTGCTCTGTGCTGAGCGTGAAGCCTGCTTGGGATTCATTCTCTCCCTCTCTCTTTCTCTCCCTCCCCCTCTCCCCAGTTTGTGGGCATGCTCTCTCTCTTAAACACACACTCACTCTCACACACACACACACACACACACCCCCTGTAGAGGTGGTTCCAGTTGTCTCAGTGACCAGGGAATCTCACTGGCATTTAGAAGGCAGGGGCCTGGGAGGCTTTGGGTCCAGCAGTGCATGAAGAACTGTCCCATTCAAGCACCAACAGGACCCCCGGAGAATCCAGACCATTGTGCTTCCTCTTGCTGACGGGGAGCACAGACACTCACCTTTAACGTGCGGCTCTAGGTGTCCCTTCAAAGAAGAGCAAAGGTCTGAGCGGCCGTCTGCCTGTCAGAAGCTCAGTCCCCCGGCACATGCAGGTCCGTCAGTCTCACGAGCCCAGCTCTTAGGAGAGCCCAGCACTCCTCAAACACCTACCCCCGCGCCGACCCCCTTTCAGTGGTCAAATCTATTTTCTGGCTTGAGACAAATCCCTACAAATTAAATTCCACCTTGATCCTGGAAATCTTGACAGGGTGGTCTTGACTTTAAAAATAATAATAACTTGGGGCACCTGGGTGGCTCAGTCAATTAGGCGACCAACTTCGGCTCAGGTCACGATCTCACAGTTTGTGAGTTCGAGCCCCGCGTCGGGCTCTGTGCTGACAGCTCGGAGCCTGGAGCCTGCTTCGGATTCTGTGTCTCCCCCTCTCTCTACCCCTCCCCTGCTCACGCTCTGTGTCTCTCTGTCTCTCAATAATAAATAAATGTTAAAAAAATAATAATAATAAATAATAATAACAGGCTGAGAAATCACCAGCTGAGTCCCCCTGCAAAGGTATAAGAAGCAGGCTCTAAGGCAATGAATGCACAGGCAGGATGCTTAGGGGCCAGAATGCAGATGGTAGGAAGAGAAGATGAGCAAAAGGCTAAGACTGTTTTAAAAAACCAACGGACAAAAAAAGACCACAGTGGCAGACAGAAGTGCTCCCGGTTTGAAAGGCACAAAGGTGCTCTCACTCCTGCTGCCCAGGCACTGACCTCCCCCAGCCAGAAGGTGTGCCAAGTGCTGACCTTGAGGCACAGCAAAGACCAACTGCACACGCAGCTCAGGTCTGACCAACTGGCAGAACATCCAGGTCTAGGTGTGCCCATGCCACACCTGCCAAGTGGCTGCGTAACTCTAGATATGTCCTAGGCCAGTCTGGCCTACAGTTCTTTGCAGAGAAGAGTAAGTAAGGTTCCATTCAAGAAATACTTTGTGAGCGGCACGGGCACAGAGGCAAGTGCGTGAACTACAGCACTAAAGACCATGTGACTGCGGGTATACCGCTCAGCCTCTGAACCCCAGTTTCCTCATCCATGGAAATGATGGGAATGATACCACCACCTCACATTCAGGATCAGATGAGATAAAATAAGTTATATCCTATTACTCCTCTGCTCAAAATCAACCAATAGACTTTGGCTCTGTCTGTGATGGAGTAATTGAGACCAGACTTAACCTCCCACTGGTTACAAAAACTAAACAAAATAAATGACACCACCGTTTGTAGACATTAGACTGCAGTGATTCCTGATAGATCAGAAATGAATGATATGAGCCCCTAAGAACACCCTGGCTTTCTTCCTGGAGGCATGTTTCAGACCAAGAAGCCGGTGGGGGGCGGGGGGGCGGTGCATGGAGTGGTCCCCACCAGAACATGGCAGTCTCTTGCTGAGTTGAGGAAACAGAGATAGGGTTCAGGGAGGCTAAGGCAGCTGAAAGTTAGAGGGCAGAGTTCCAGAGAGGAGAGGCGCATGCAGGAAGAGAGATCCAGAAATCTGCAAAGAGATTCCCTTACGACTTCGCTGAATATGAAAATGTGTGCACACGCAGAGTGAACCTCCACAAGGCTCAGGAAGAGCAATGAAGAAGCAGTGGGCTGGACGGCTCCCAGAGCCCCCGTAGACCTCACAGGTCACGGGCACCAGACTGGCGTGTCCTCACTGCTCCGTCAGGGCACTCAGGACAGACCTGGAAGGGCCATATCCTGGCAGGGAGAGGGCAGATTATCCCTAGGGTAAAGGCCACCCTAGATCCACCCTTACAAAGCCTAAAAACAGGACTTGATGGGAGCACCTGGCTGCAGGTAGAGCACATGACTCTTGGCCTTAGGGTTGTGAGTTCGAGCCCCATGTTGGATGTAGAGATTACTTAAAATCTTAAAAAAAAAAACAGGACTTGACAGAATCAAAATGAACAAAAGTAACTTAACTATCCACCAGAATAAATCTCAACATGCTTTAAAGTATGACCACAAAATCCAGACCCTCAACAATGTAATATTCGCAGCACCCAGCATCTGATCAATAGTCTCACCAGATGTCCAGAAGCAGGAAAGTGTGATGCACAATAATAAGAAAAAGTAGAAGAAGGGGCGCCTGGGTGGCTCAGTCGGTTAAGCATCTGACTTCGGCTCAGGTCATGATCTCGCAGTTCATGAGTTCAAGCCTCTCTGAGCTGTCAGCACAGAGCTGGAAGCCTGCTTCCAATTCTGTGTCTCCCTCTAACTCTGCCCTTACCCTCTCACACTGTCTCTCTCTCTTTCTCTAAATTAAATAAACATTTTTTAAAAAGTAAAAAATAAATAAATAAATAAATAAATAAATAAATAAATGGAATAATTTGCAGAAATGAAAACATTAAGACAGGTGTTATCACTTTATTCAAGAATTTAATGCAATTTTTTTTATTTTATCTTATTTATTTCAGAGAGAGAAAGAGGGAGCGTGAGTGGGGGAGAGGGGTAGAGAGAGAAAGAGGGAATCTTAAGGAGGATCCACACTCAATGTAGAGTGCATCACAGGGTTTGATCCCATGACCCTGGGATCATGACCGGAGCCAAAATCAAGACTGGGACATTCAACCGAGTCACCCAGACATCCCTAATGCAATTTTTAAAATACATATACTGAGTCATTATGTTGTATGCCTGAAACTAATCTAATATGTCAATCATACCTCAATAAAAAGAAAACTGAAAGGAAAACAGGATCACAGTAGGAAGAGAAATACATCACATAAAAAGAAAATAGGACTTCTAGAGATGTAACTATAATATCAGAAATAAAAATTCCACTGAATGGGAGTGACAGCAGATTAGATACTACAGAAGAAAAGGTAAGTGCACTTGAAAACACAGTGACAAAAACTGACCAAAATGAAGGACAAAGGTAAAAAAAAGAAAAATATTTGAAGAAATAATGGCTGAAATTTTCCAAAGTTTGATGAAACTCCCAAATCCAAGAAGCTCAACAAACCCTAAGCAAAAAAACACACACGCATGCTAAGGTTCTATACAATGAAATAGCTAAAAACCCTCGGGGCGCCTGGATTAAGCATCCAACTTCAGCTCAGGTCATGATTTCATGGTTCATGGGTTCAAACCCCTCGTCAGGCTGTGTGCTGACAGCTCAGAGCCTGGAGCCTGCTTCTGATTTTGTCTCCCTCTCTGCCCCTCACCCATTTGTGTTCTCTCTCTCTCTCTCTCAAAAATAAATAAACACTAAAAAATTTTTTTAATAAAATAAAAACCCATGAAAAGGGGGAAATCTTATAAGCAGCCAGAAAAAAAGAGATCACCTACAGATATTAACCAAGATTAAGAATGACCTCAGGTTTCTGATCAGAAGCTACACAAGCCAAATAAAAACTACAATGATGGGGTGCCTGGGTGGCTCCATCAGTTGAGCATCTGACTCTTGATTTTGGGTCAGGTCATGATCCCAGGGTTGTGGGATCAAGCCCTGTGTCAGGGGTTCTGCACTGAGCATGAAGCCTGCTTAAGATTCTCTCTCTCCCTCTGCCCCTCTGTCCCACTTGTAATCTCTCTCTAAAAAATAAA